ATTTCGCAACATTGGATAATTAATTAGTCAATAGAATTTCGCAACATATATTCTTTCATGTAGACATCTCATATATATATATATATATATTCATACTGCTTTAGTTGAAACATTGAAATTTTTATTATAAAAACAAAAACAAATGGCGAGGGCAGATCGTCCAAATAAAAATGATCAGCTTATGGAACTTGATCGTGCGGGAATAAAAGTTGATTATAGAACAAAATCACCACGTTTCTCATGTCAAGATCCTGAAACACTCGCTGATGGTTTACGTCATCTTGAGCGACATGGATACACAATTATATCAGATGTATTAGACGAAATCGAAATAAACACTGCAAAAAATCTCATTTGGCAACATTTAGAAGGTCTCAAGTCACCATATAAGATAAAACGTGGACAAATTCATACATGGAATATATGGCCAGGTAGACATGAAGCTGGTATTGTTGAAGATTTTGGATCTGGTAATTCACAAGCTCAATGGTTTATCCGTTCTGTACCTGCAATTAAAGATATTTTTGCTGAAATCTGGCTTACTCGAAATTTGTTATGTTCAATGGATGGAATTGGTCTTTTCAGACCTTGGCATTTGAATCCACAAATTCAACGTAAGAATAACAATACTAAACTTTGAGTTTTTATTCTATTTTTTGTTTGTATTGTAGAAAGAGATATTGAAAATAAAACTAATCCATGGAAAACTATTGGTGCTAATTGGCATGTCGATCAAAGTCCAGTTACAAAACCAAATCGAGTTTGTGTTCAAGGTATTATTAATTTATTACCAGCAGATGAAACAACTGGTGGATTAATGGTAATACCTGGTTCACATAATCGATTTCATGAATTACTTTCCATTTGGAAAAAAACAGGAAATAATTCTAAAATTCCTCTATATCATGAAATATTACAAGAAGGATATGGTTTATTAATTCATGCACAACCAGGTGATTTATTATTATGGGACTCTCGTACTGTTCATTGCAATACTCCTTCATTTGTTACACCACAACCACTTAACAATGGTGAAAGAACTGATTTATTGAGAATGGTCAGTTATATTTGTATGACACCATTGGCATTTGCAGAAAATCCAGATGAATTAATTGATCGTCGATTGAATGCATTTCGTTATCGATTAACAACATCACATTGGCCACATGAGTTTCAATTAATGGGCGGAGAGATTTCAAGAGGTGAAAATAGTATTCAATTGACAGATTATCAGAGAAATCTCATTTTAGGAATTGATCAATAAAATTTCCACCATCTTTTTTATATCGATCATATCTTAATTTTTCAAAAAACAAACAAAAAACTTTATATGTTTAATTCTATGAATGAACCTATTGAAAAACTATACAAACATGATAATTATCAGTTTGATTGTATTTTCAGAAATTGTTGTGCATATAAAATCTATCATATTGAAAACAAGAAAGATTAGTCAATCCACACATGAAGTGAAGATTCATCAAGTCAATATCTATCATCAATACAGATATTGATTTCCTACAGATATTCGTCTATTACTGACAGATATCTTTTAAAAGAATGAGTCCAATGAAAAGTTCCAATAGTAAAATAATGAAATTGATTAAAGAATTGAAAGAATATATTCTTGCTCTTTTCCAGAGTAAGACACGTGTTCTAGCTTAGGATATTTATCTTATATTTAATCAATATCGATAATAACTACGATATTTTTCATATTTAATTTTGTTTATTATTCCATATATATTTTGATTATCTACTAATCAAATCGATAATTTGTATCAATATTATTCGACTTATAGTTTGTTGATAAATATTTGATGGTGCATACAAAATATCGTTAAGCGATGTGTATATCATACGATAGACCCAAATTTGAGATGATTAAGAAATATGTATCGTCTACTATCAAGCAAAAATGATTTACCAATCGTTTCTATGTAGTATGAGGCGTTTAAGTGATAGAGTAAGTGAATTATGACTTTCGAGTTCATTAAATAAATAATGTCTAACATTTTGATTCGAGTTTCAGAGAAGTTTAATCTAGTGAAATATAATCAAATGTTAACATATTCTTCTTCTATGGTATTGATATCTAAAGTTAAAATGGATTGGGAACCTAGTGAAAAATATTCTCTACATTGTTTAGTGTGCAAGAACGAACAGTCAAACAAGTAAATTTTCGATAATGGCTGTTAAAGAGTTCTTAACATTTAACTGTCCATGAAGAACAAATGTTTCAGAGAAGATATTGTTGCCCATCTTTCGTCGATGCTACAATCAACTCCTTTACTCATTAATTCATACCTTTATTTGGATAAATTGTTAAATCAAATCTGAATAAAGAAAAATTATTTTATATTTTCTTTCAATTCATGGTTACAATTGAATCATCTGCTGAACCAAATCTAAATTAAAATATTCAACTTACCCTATTAAGTAATAGTTATAAAAATTAATCACAAGACACGAATATAGATTTTTTTTGTGCATAGGTGAAGAAGACCGTGTCTTCTCATTTGCGAACATAAAATCGAAGTTCAAAATCTATTAAGGCGCCCACCCCTGGAAAAAGGTCAATTTTCATAAAAAATGTCGAAATTAATATAAATATATGGGAAGATAGTCCATCTTCTAATCTTTTAGAAACGGCATAGTTTTTTTTCTGGCATCTCATTTTTTGTCAAAATTTTTGATGATTTCCGTTAACTTCTTCCTAAAAAGTATGTTTATTTTGAAAAAAAAACGAAGCATGTTTTTCGTGTTTTTCTCAGTTTATACATTCTCAATCGCGCCATCCAAATTTTTCAGTAGGTCTACATTCTATATATTTGAATTTTGTTTTGTTCTTCAAGAGCATGTCAAGATGCAGAGTACCACAAAGTCTTTTTTTTAAATTAACCTTTGATTTTATTATATATGCAAACAAATATATGAATGGACACCCATTTTTGGCACGTTTTTAGAGCATTTTTTGAGACGTTGAACTTGTTACTCGTTTTTTCTGCATAAAAAGTAAGAATATAAAAAAAGAACTGTATGGTGCCTTGCATTCTGACATGCTCTTGAAGAACAAAAAAAATTAAACATATAGAATGAGCCTGAACAGAGAATTTTGGTTTGCCAAATGAACTATTTTTGACTCTCGTTTGGTGAATATCTCCCTAAAATATAATGTTATAAGGCTGAAAGTTTTACCACAACTTCTCCACTTCGGTCCGTACATGCTCTGAACATTTCATGTTTCTAGCATGCATCCATTCTGAGATCGATTTTTGAGAGGGAGAAGAGTCTTAAATTCAATTACAGTTGTTCTTTAAATTTAATTTAAATTGAAAACAATCATAGATATCAAAGTTTCGTGTTTCAGATTTAAACAAAAAGTTACCGATAACAATTTTAATACAACTTATACTTTCAGTTAAATTTTTTAATTTGCTGAAATTCATAGAGTTCGCTAAAGATTAGATTTCATTATTTCAATTTCATCAGCTGTAATTTGTAGGGTGCGCTAAAATATAGTAGTGCTTTTTTTTTCTTAATTGACTGAAATGTGTAGAGTTCGTCAGACATAATTGTTACTAGGAATGTCATGAGCTGTGTTTGATCTGAACACACCATCTAATTGTGACTATAAAATGAAATCAAACATCGAATGGAAACAACTGATTGGGATGCAAAAGCATTTATATACAAAAATCAAAAATACAAAAATGATATGTTAAAAAAGATGATTTAGAAATATGGATGTTGATGAGTGTTTTCTCTTAATAAACACAGCCCAATTCGCTTACACTACATTCGTAATAAATATCGAATTATCGCAACAAACTATGATATAACCTCCTTAAAAACTCGTTTTGTCTTTAATTTAAATCGGTCTTAGTTCAGCCCAAATTGACAACTCTTGCTCGTGGATTATAAGTATTAGTTTATTAACAGCAAAAGAAAAACAAATCAACTAGTACATTTCTTTTTTGATTTCCATTAAAATTCTTCGTAGCTAAGTTCAAACAAAAATCTTCGGTGAACAAACACCTAACGTCCTCTACAAATTACAGCTATTCTACTGCATTGCAACAGTGTAGTAGATTTTTGTTCGATTCTATTCTTTCGAAACTGTATCGATAGAAATCTAATCTATCTGATGAGATTGATTTGAGCATAAGTCGAAACTCCAGTAACTCTACGCTCACATCCATACATCTACAATCAAACCCATCTAATGAAGACTCTTCAGCAAGGTGGAAATCTGAATCATGGCAGGGTGAGCAACCTACACCCATATCCTGGATGTCAGAAACGAAAGATGCTTGCATTATATTTCTTTGCAGTGGTAGAATTTTAGGTTAAGACTCTTTGAATCATTGCACATACACTGATATTTTTCTAACTAATTCTTGAATATGTTTTATTAAAGAATTTAGAAAAACATGATTGACTGAATATGATGTGAAGTATATTGAGAAAAAATTCGAGGACATGGTAAATTCCGATTTCCAGGAAATTCAAAGTTGGTTACACCTAAAGTACAGGAGATTGCAACGAATAGAATTAGTGTAACAATGCCCAGTGCTAATTTTCATATATAGAGGCACATTTTATATTATTATATATATAACTGTTCTGATACTACTTCATAAAAAAAAATGCGTATATAAAAGATCTCAATCATTTATATTTTTATCGAATCATGGCACGCATTTTTGTATATACATAATATATGGTTTGATTTCGAGTTGGATCGGGTTGAGTTAAGTAAGAATATATATATATATAAATTTAATTCTACGTAGAATTCTTCATTTATTGTTTCAAGTACACGGTTAAAAGATCAAATATTAAAGAAACGTAGGTCTGTAAGTGAATTTTCTTGAATAAAACATAATGATAGAAGTTGAAACATAAAAATATGTTTGTTTATCATTATTAATATTAATTTTATATTGAAAAAAGAGATAGTAGAAAGTAATTTATTAACTAGGATTTTGTTTTTGTGAATTTTCTAACGAAAAAGTCTTTAATATTAGAAAATCGTTGTTTAATTTTTCCTTTGAAATTATTTAGTAATCCTTTTTTTTGCATAACAGCCATACACCAATGAACAATTTTAGCATCACTATCCAAACATGTCATAATGCCTTCAATAAGTTCGTCAATACCTTCTTGTTCATAATTAATATTTTGATCTTCATCAATAAATGGTTGTGCATTAACCATAGTACATAGAGCCATATTACCAAAGTAAACAATTCCGTCTTCTTCACTCGTTTGTTGATGATAGGTAGACAATAATTCTTTATATTTATCCAAAATAGCTATACGCTGAGATTTTTGTCCAGCCCATTTATTTGTCACAACAAGTGCACAGAGTACTTTATGTTCTAGTATACATACATTTAACAACCATTTTAATTGTTTTGTATCGGCAAATGAGCCTGGTGAAGCACAGTAAATCATACACAGTGGATCCGATTTTGGTTTCTGCATAATCTTATTAAAATTAGTACGAATATCCGTTTCATTCCAAGACTCAAAACCTGGTGTATCCCAAAAGTTGTACGTATATGTTATTAATTCATTGTCAATACGACATCTTTCATGGAGTATATAACGTGAAATCTCTTTCGTACATGAATCAAGTCCAGAACTTGTTTTAGCAAGTTTTTGACCACAAATAGCATTGATTAATGTCGATTTGCCAACGCGAGCAGATCCACATACAATAATATTGAATTCATTGAACATATTAAAAATATTTTGTCGAACAACAGGATCAACTGTAAATACTAGACCAGCAAGTTCAATTTGTGATTGAAATGTGTCAAAACCGGTAGCAAGTGTACTCATTCTATTGGTCAATGCTGGATGTGAAGATAGAGAAGAATCGTTTTCGGAAATTAGATTTTCTAACGGTGGTACTTGAGGTCTATCGTCGATTGTCTTATTTGATTCCTGAAAAAAATAAACAAATACTCATGCTGACATTCGAAAATGAACATATCATCCTTATCAGTCAGACAAGCTTCCTAAAAAACGCGTTAAAATATCGTTTTTACGCTACGTTATTGTTAAAACGCTGCTTTGACGAACTTTTTAACACACTTTACTCTACTAAACAATAATTCGTTCTTTCCCATTTCTAAAGTAAATCAACGTGTTTCTCAAGGATTTCCACCTTGACATTCGTTAAAATGCTGAATCTTTAGGCTGATCAATTATACTTATATGGACACACCTGATGTAAAAATTCGTATTTTTAGACCGGTCTGATTTTTTTAATAATAATAATAATAATAATAAGTTATTTGTTTAACAATGATAAAAGTAAAGGATATTGTTAAAGATGTGCTACTACTTTTGTTTTTCCTTTACATGTGCAAGATTATGATCGTTTCTATTATCTATTTGTTTGATTCGTTTATGTATTATTCAATTTTTCTTAGAACTACAAAAATTTTTGTATTTTTATCTCGAAATGAATAAACACTGAAAGTTGTGCGTGATACAAGGTTAAATTAACAAAGTTTTTTTTTATTCACTTTGTAAACGAATAAACCTTTTTTGACTGATTAGAATCGATTGAAATCTAATGGTCTGTTGATCTTCTCTATTAATGTTAATTCATCTATTGATTTATCGTGATTGTGAACAAATCTTTGTGTTTCTCTATGCATTGATTAATTTTACTCAAGTTAAACGAATAAATAGTTTACACATAAAAGATAAGAATATTTCATATCAGTTTTTTGTCCTCTTCGATTGTGCAGTTTATTTTGCATTAATCGATATTTTCAACCAATAATATCATTTGTTAGTTTTTCTTTGTAATGAATCATTAGACAGTTTTAGAACATACGCAAGGTAAAATTTCTCTATCAAAGAAGCAAATGCAAATATTAATTTAATGATGAAGACATTGAACTTAAAAAAAAATGCATTTTTATGAGATTCTTTGTTCAATATCAGTTGACAGTACGCTTTGAGATGTGATTAATAGTAATCTATTTGAAATAATTCAGTATATCGACTATTCTACTTCTGAATAATTTTCATATTGTCATTCTAAGAAAATATTTAAAAGTTTGTAAAAGTTCATGTTGATCACCGAACTTTCTATATATAGATAAGTTGAAATCTATATTTTTTTTCTCTTCAGTTCTATTTTGTTGATCTAATTATTATTTATGTTAACTTTTTCATTCGTTTGAGTATTCCGTCGATTGAGAATAATCTATTTTTTATATGATAGTATCATTTGTTTCTTTCATTTATAGTAGTAACTGATTCTTTCCTTCTAACCTTTTCATTTTTATTTATGAATAGATTAACATACTTTTTACGGGCTTATTGCGCTTTTTTTTCTTGTATAATAAATTAAGAGTCAATATGGATGGCAGATCAATAATCGAAACAAGGGCCTAAGTACGAATCAGTATTTAAATGTTAAGTGCTTTTATAGAAATCTTTTACTCAGGCACGGGCAACATAGATATATATCAACCGATCGAACGTTAATTTAATGTTAATCTTTCATCTTTCTATTTATTGTTTAGAGTAAAATCGAATTGTCATTTTTTAGTTTTCTACTCGCGTCAGCAAAGATAAAGAAGAAACGAAAAGGTATTGATATGATTAATACGTTTCTATATGATATATAATAAGTTTCGGATCTATATTATCAATAAAAATAACATATTACTCAACTGACATTCTTATTAAGATGGGATTTTATTAGTAAAATGTTAAAAGAACTTTATTTTAATTATATTTTTATTTTAATCATGTAAAAGAAAACGACTCGAAAAACACAAAAAAACTCAAAAACGGTCCGAAATTACTGAAATAATCTTTCTATATGTTCATTGCACAGAACTCGCAGTAGTTAAATGAACTTCCAAAAGACAAAATAATTTTAATCGTATATCGTAATATGTTATCAAACGTTTAGTTTTCGAAGTGAATGTATTTTAAGAATAAGATTGTTCTCTTTATAGATAGACTCAACTCAAGATCTAACACATTAAAATTCTATTAAATTTCTTGAATGAAAACGAAATCGTAAAAAACACAGGCTTGTACTCTTTCATAAGCCGTTTATTTTTGTTAAAATTCTAATATGTATTAACAAGTTTAATAACGGCAGACAATACTAGACTCCTATCTTAACACGCTGATAATCATGTTGAAATAGTTGAGAAATAAATATCTAAAATATCGAATAGCATTTGACTTATAACTAAACTATTATCAAATCAATTCGAGTTATATTTATGTTTACAATTACTTACGATAGATCTCATTTTGTCTGAATCATTTGTTGGATTGATTGGTAATTTTCTATTTATATTAGGTGAATGACTAAAAAAAACACGAATATATAGTTATGTCAAGTTAATTTTAAAAACAATGTCGACAATAAATGATAAAAGTGATAACTTACTGTTGACAATAAGGCAATTTATCAAAACTCCGAACATTGCTCAGATTCAATTTTTTTTCGCATTGTGTACATTTAAAGCACAGTTGATGATATACCTACAATAAATATAATTATATTTTATTTATAATAAGGATAAAATAATTCATTATTTGATTTAAATTATTGTTTCTTTCCTTGACTATTTTAAATTGAAAAAGCGGAATATATCGCTTTTTCAATATTCTATAAATAATTAATGATTAGATTTCTTTCATTTAGCTTTACAAATAAAACTTCTGTGCGTTCTTTTTAAGAAAAATCCCCTTTCCAGATGTTAAAGTGAAAGTTTTTTTTGATTTTTTATTGTTAAAATAACGTTTGAAGTGTCCTCTGTCAAATGCCATATAAATGAAAGGTTGTCGTTGTTAGTTATCCAACTCTTGATATTCCTAGTGGAAAAATTCGCATCGCAATTATTCTTTGTATAGAAAATTCTCCTAAAAATAATAATTATTTCTGATTGAAAAAGTGTTAAAAGCATGGGTCTCTAATGATGCTGAACACGACCAGTTTTTGATCACTTTAGTTCGGAGAGAAAAATTCTGATACACATAGGAAAATTTATTTTGCTTTTTTCTCAAAATCAAATTTTGAACAAAAATATAGGAAACTTTTCCTCCAATCTCACACGATACGTCCAATCGAGCTCGAATTTTTTTTATGAGTACTTTGATCAAATTGAGATGCATCATTTTTTTTTTCTTCAAAATGTGTTTCCTATGAAATTTGACAGTCTTTAAAAAAGTTATTACCATTGAAAAGAAACCCTTTTTTTTGGACAGTATTTCCAGTATTTTGCTTCTCGTGATCTCTGAGAAGGATACTTTTGAAAGAAAAAGAAGAATGCATCTTGATTTGATCCTAGTGGTTATAGAAAAAATTGCAACTGGGAAAAATGAAGTATAGATTATCATGAAATTTTAAATCTATGACAACTTTTGCTCTACTTATCAAGATCTATCTGCCTTGAAAGTTTCATTAATTTTCTTCAACCCATTCCCGAGAAACTTCGGAAAGGAAAAGGGAGAGAGAGAGAGAAATCATTTTAATTAAAAATATAGATTTTTATATCTAACTATTGATGATAAATTTTTCTGGAAGTTGAACTATTCTCGAAATGAATGACTCACTTTGCCTTGATATTGAAGTTTTTCAGCAGAATAAACTTGTCGTTGACATACAGAACACAAAACCATTTTGTTATTTTTTTTTTTTGAATATTTGATTTTTATTTTTTACTTTAAGATAAAATAAAGATTTGCACAATACATATACTATGATAAATCAATAAGAATCATTTTCCATTCGATATTTCCAATAATAGAAACAAAAACGGCATCCAATCAACCAACGATTAAAAAAAAAGCAACCATTTTTATCTTTGTAAAAAGCAATTTTGTGGATTCTGTCGCTTTAAGATTCGCTTTTCTGTCAAAAAAAAAAGATTTTTTTCCTTGAGAAGGTAAAAATTGCACATTCTAACGAACGAAAAAGTGTTTTTTTTATCGACTGTACTTGACTGGGTAGAGTGGATGAATCACATTTACAACAAAAAATCATACAGAACGGGTTAATTACTTTTTTCTTCATTTCACTATTTTTTCTTTTCTTCGCATTGACATTGGAAGAAAAACGTGCTACACTGAAAAACATTAATATTTGACTATTTAGTATTTTCAAGATAGCATCCAATGTCAAAATCGTTATGTATTTCTTTCAAACCAACTTGTGAATCTTTTGATGTTCCTTATAATTCACAAACGACCATTGATGATTTAATAAAGTATGTTTGTATTCAAAGTAGTGTACTGCCAAATACCAATCCTAATGATTATTATCTAATGATTAATAAAAGCGATATGTTAAGAACCAATCAAACAGTGGAAGCAGCAGGTTTAGATCAATTAGATCGAATTGTTTCTCTTGATATGTGCACCAAAACTCGAGTATTGATGAAACGTATCGTAGATAGTCGTATGCAACTTTGGCAGGATCCAATCAAACCAATACCAACGAAGACACAACAAACAATACCAACAGACCAATCGAACAATCCTGGTACGAATTACAAAACAACAGTTGATTTACATCTTGTAAACTTCTTGAAATTTTCAAATTGATTCCCATTGAGATATTCTAGAACCTCTTCAGTTTTACCATCATATAATATCATTATCAGTGCTTTGAAAAACTAACCTTTCAGTAATAGTAAGTCACAATCTCACGCACTTTCAAAATCCTTATTTGTAGACTGATAGATTTTTCACATATCGAAATTCACATTTGATTTTTTTCTACGAGATTTTTCAAATTGCTCAGTAATTAATGTAACTAATCTCGTTGTGAGCAGTTACACTTCTCAATATTTTTTATTTGAAAGAACTATGTTATATTCATTTAAGCATTTGTTTTGTTTTCATTTACAGACGAATCATCAGTTTCTACTAATAAACAACAAATCCCATCTACTACAGAAGTACTATCAAATGATAATAATGATAGAAATAATGAAGTTCATATTCTAATTTGTGGTAGTCCTAAAGTAGGAAAATCGACATTAATTAATGCTCTCTGTGGTTGTCCTGTAGCTAAAGTGAAAACAATTGGTCTCGATCATTGTACACAAAAAACAAGTTATTATCAATTGGATAATATTTACTTCTGGGATACACCTGGTATTCAACAATGGTCTAATATAGATATTGACTCATATATTAACTCATCTAAACGATGTCAAACACCATTATGTATGTTCTATTGTGCATCACCTGGATCATTCACTAAATTAAAACAACTTGAAATGTTACTTGATGAATGTATTTATCAACGACATATTTTCTGTGTATTAGTAGTAACAAATATGTTTGCTCATATTAATCGACATGCGATTCTCAATGAATTTAAAACACTTTTAAGTAAATATATTGATCATAGTCAACAAATCCGAGAAGAAGATGGAGTATTTTATTATGGACATGTTGGATTATGTACTATGGTTAACAGTCGAGAATATGTTGATGAAGATACAAATCGACGACAATCACAGCAAGGTATTAATGAGTTAGTTATGGCTTTAACAAAATCATTTAGTAGAACTCATCAACTTGATGGTTGGCTAAGAACCATTGAGAAAAATACATTATTTTGGTTGGAAAAACAAGAAGAAATTTTTCGACTCACAAAAAAATCTGATGATATATGTTTGTCTGAAATTATTCAGAACATCTAAGTACAAAAATAATTGTATGATCGTTTTTTTTTTGGTCATCCTATACTAGAAAAAAAAATCATTGTGTACAGATATTCTCTTTATTTTATATAAAATCATATAAAAATCGTCAAAATAAAAACATTTATTGTGTATCTGATTTATCACAAAATTTCGTTAATTATTACTAGTTCGTTTCGAATAACTTCTATTAAATTGAAGAATCTATCAGTCAAAAGTGAAAATGTTTTCATGAAATTTGAACACTATATAATAATCGAACAATTCGAATCTCTAATGCAAATTGAGATATATTTATCATGTCTTTAAGTCATCAAAATCGATTATAATATAATTTATTTTTGAATAAGATAGAACGAAATACATTTTATCATTGGTATTATGTGTTGGTATTTTTTACTTTTCAAAAATATTGTTTACTATTGATAATAAATCAGACACTTATTATTATTTTCTATTTCTTTTTTTCTTATCATTGTAAAATATAATGCGATGTGTACCTATATCTCTTTGAAACTCATTTTATTTTAATATTTGTATATAATACCACAAACGACGATCATAAATAGGATGATCCGATTCATTTTCTTTTTGTTTACGTCGAATCAGATCAAAAACTCAGAGGTAGGTTCATCGAAAATTGCTCAATAATATATCTTTGTTCGTTCTATTTCATCATTCTCGAGCGTTTTTCTTTGTCTCATAGTTCTTTTTACTTCCTTTACTCTCTTTAGACTTTTAAGGAAAATAATCATATTGAATTGTTGGGTGACATCTAGTAAAGTTTTTTATTATTATCAGAAAATCTTTATATAATTGATAGTCAATCAATAGAATCTATTACAGGTGTTGAATTATAGATAACAGTCTTCACAAATCTAAACCTATTCAGATAGAAAAAAAATCAGACGTAAGGTCTTGTAAGACCAGATGAAATCATAGAAAAAAGTTCTAGTATCAGAAATTTTACACTAAATCGTAGTAGAAGATTCTTAAGAGATCCTTTCTTCATATCTTATAAGCTGGTAACATCTTTTAACAATCTTATAATACGAGTTAGCGTTACATTTCTAAAACTATGATTTCTTTTTATCTTACAAGATCAGAGTTATTATGATCGTGTCAGATTTTACCGTCGTATTGTTTAACCTTGATGTGAAAACATAAAATGTCAGTTCATTAAATAAATATTAAATTAACTAGAACATATAATGACAGACATGATAATGACTCTATTGGCCATATCTTTAATTAATATATACTTTGAAAAGAGTAATCTATCATATCTAGTTAAATTATTGATATTGAGATTCTATTTAAATTCTAGAAATTAGTTATTTTATATGAGAAAAAAGCGTTATGTTTAGTATTTATACTTTTTTGTATTTAATAGATATAAATGACAACATAAATTAAACATTTCTAATCTAAACAAAAATGAATTTTAATAATAAATGTTTTTCATAAAATGAAAAATAAAAGTGAAATATGTGATAATATTAAAAAAACAAAATTTAATTATCGAATAAATATTTTTTTATTGAATAATTGATGTCTTCAATAATTTGTCAATGATATTCTTTTATTCAAATTATGTTTTATTTACCTATTGTTGATCGTTTCATTAAAATTCTTTTATCGTCAACATCGATTATTGCTTATTAAAAAAAAACAGACAATATATTCCGACATAGACATAGTAACGTTTTAGTCATAAGGGAAAAAGTTGATTCTGAGTGATTCCAATGATTTCGAAGGCTCGAAAGCATCTTTTAATCGTGTTTAGGATCAGTGGAATCACGCAGATTCAATAGAATCATCGAGAATCAGTGGAATGATGAAATGATGAAATGAGTTTTTCTCCCTTGATTTTCGTAGATATATGAGACGGTATAATGTGTATGTTTTCAATCATTGATGAAGAGTTTATTTAATTAAAAACAAAAAATAAATAATAGGAAACAAGTTAATTAGAATGATTTGTATCGATAATAGATGATTGAGTCTCGTTTGATTGTTCATTGTCAATGACTGAAGATGGTTGAAAAAAGTTGTTTTGACGAATTTTTCGAGTTAAAATTTTAATTGTTAATGGAACGATATTATTTGTTTGAAGTAAAGCTTCTTTAATATCTTCATCAGTAAATAATTGCATTAAATCTCCATGTATTGAACGTCGTTTAACAAGATTTTTGAATTTATTTTCGTCAATTTGATTAGCTCGAGGTATTTGTTTTAACAAATTATAAAATTGTTGATCAGTATATTTTTCAGTTTTTTCTTTCCAATGTGAAAAAGCTTGAATAATAGTAAAGATTTTTTTATTTGAAATTCCTTCATGATAATCAATATCATAAATAGTTTTATCTTTATTTAATGCATATTCTGTTATAATATGACAATTACATACTTCTAAATAATATCCATCTGGATCATTAAAGAAATATTGATAAATAAGTGTTTTATTTTTAGATTTTGATTTATTTATATTAGGTATTAATAGACTTTGACGAACATCAATATTTAATTGACGTAATTTGTTAACAAGTTTATTGATATCTAATGTTTCGAATGCAATATGTGAAACATGAATATCATCTATATTTGGTACAGTAGGTATACCTTTTATTAAATGAAGTTCAATATTACCCATTGTTAACCAAGCACCATGACGATCGAATGTAGGTCGACGAACTTGTTGAAATCCTAATATATCAACATAAAAACTAATTGATCGACCAACATCAGATACAGTTATTGCTATATGATTAACTTTTACGATAAGATCACCTAAACCACGTCGTTCTTCTAATGGATTCCAATGTAAAGATTGACTATATTTAATAGTTGATATCATTGAATTTAATTTCTCTTGTTTTTCTTTACATTGACGCCATTTAAATAATATCCATAATGATAAAAATCCAATAACAAAACCAAAAAGACCAGAAATAATATCAAATTTTAACAAATTTAAAGTCATCATTAAAAGTTTATTCTTAAAAGAAAAATATTTTTTTTCTAAATAAACACATAATCATATTTTAAAAATATCAATCAGATAGAAAAAAACAAAGTAGATCTTATTTACATTTCTCCAAATAATTGTTTCATAAGTCTTAGTCAACAATTTTAAAATAGTTTACATCGAATCGAAAAAAAAAACTTCACATTAAATCAAAACTCGAATGATTCTCTTCTATCAAAATGACGTACGTGTTTTTTTTTTGCTTCTCTTTAAAATACGATGTCCAATCGAAATAAATGGAAACCAAGTCAATCTATTCATCTATATGATATGTTCTACTATAACCTCTTCAATTCGACTATGTTTTGTTTGAAGACAAACTCAACTTAAAAGATTATCAAAAGGATTTTAAAAATATTTTTAAATAGGTCTATAAGGATAATTTTCATAATTATTTATTCAGTTAATATCAACGCTAGAATAACAGAGAGAAACTATACTTTTTTTCTTTTTTTCTATCGTTTCGTTCTTTATGCACTTAACATACACTTCTTTTTCCCTTTTATATTTCTATTCACTTGGCATTGAATTATGTCTTGTACTTGATAACCTTGAACAGAATAAGGAAGAGTCAAAGCATAGAACGATGAATTTCACAGATATATAAGAAAAACAATTTCAAAAGAATTTTTCTTTATAGAAAGTTTTAATGTCCTGCATGAATTCGTTGATTTAACCATAAAGAATTCATTTTAATACGGTTAAACTTACGTTATAGTAAAAACTAGATTGAATACTACTATTTATGAAATGATCTTCTATCTTCTATCTATGATTCAACATAAAGATAAGTTTGAATTAGTTGAAAAATTCATCTGACATGAAAAAGATTAGTGTAACTGATAATGATGATAACTATTCAAATGACACAGTCGTTAGACAGCAAAAGATTTTATCTGATTTTTTTATTGGAAAATAATTGGCCATCAATTAACATTGAACACTGAACTTTGTTTTTCCGTTTGATAATCAACGAGCTGATAAAGCGGTTAATAACAACAGTTTGATTCTATATACTTTGTATAGATTTTAAAAAAACTTGGATTTTTTCTTTGACTTAAATTGACTAATATAACTATAATTTGTTGAGTCTCAATAGTAAGATAGAGAGAGTTGAGAATGTTAATAGTTTATTTTATGCTTCATCCTCGATAATATTAGTGGTACTTCTATCGATGACTTACTTTATTTTACATTCGTCAATGATTTATCAAAATGTAAGATCAAATTAATAAATAATCGAAGTATTCAACATGAATTCACTTATGACGAAGGAAAACAGTAAATAGTATTTTTAATATTACTGTTGTCCTTATCAAATAGCAGTACATTTCCATCTATAGTCGAGTTTTACTACAAGTTATTTGTCCATCCAATCAATCAAGTTTCTCTTTTCTTTATAATAATACGCAGAAATTCTAACAATTATCAATAAAAATTTCCAAAACTATTTTATATTTTCTCTCACTTTGAAATCCAAGTGGTATAAAACTATTTATATACAGGTCGATTACGTTATTTTTACTAGTTTTCTTCAGCTTACTGTATTTCTGCAAAATATAATACGCTTTTTATTAATATATGACTGGATAGAGCATTCATTTCTCTATCGATCGGTATATTTTTTATCTGATTTATCTCTCATCTTGACCAAGAATTTAGCGAAGTTCTCAAAGCCCTCAAAAAATTTTTTTTACGGTGATAACGTTTGTCGCAAGGAAAAATTGGGTCTCTTAGTATTTTTAAGATTTCTCCTCTATTACCCTTGTGATTAAAGTTCTTTTTATTATCAAAAGATAGCGCTTGAAATTCTCTACAAAACTATATATGACTAGGCCCAAAAACAGTTTTAGATATATTTGAAAAAAGACGAAAACTAAAGACATACAAACAGCTGTAAAAAGTAAATAACGTATGTCCCATAATAAATGGCCGCACTTTGCATTTCATATTTTAATCTCTAAATACACTTTATTAAAAAAAACACAATATATCACAAGATGCAGCGTGAAAAGCTCTACAATCTAGAAACTAAAGTTTATTTTAATTGTACACTTTTTGTTTTCAAAAAAAAGCAAAACTCTGCGACCAATTCTGCCATTGTGAAAAGATCATTTTTTTTATATGAATGAAAATTCCTTTTTCTTATTTTCTCTTTTTATCACCTAATATGTTTCTTTTAAAAAAACCAAAATATGCCACAAGATGTAGCGTGAAAAGCTCTACAGTTTACAAAGCACAATTTATTTTACTTGTGTACTTTTTATGTTCAAAAACACTCAAAATTCTGTGCGATTAATTTTCGCATCGGCGAAAATTGGTCGTACAGAGTTTTGAGTTTTTTTGAACATAAAAAGTGTACAAGTAAAATAAACTTTAGTTTCTAGATTGTAGAGCTTTTAACGCTGCATCTTGTGGTATATTTGTTTTTTAATAAAATGTATCTAAAAATTAAAATACGAGATGCAAATTGCGGCCATTTATTATGGGTCGCGCATTTACTTTTCACAGCTGTTTGTATGTCTTTAGTTTTCGTCTTTTTTCAAATATATCTAAAACTGTTTTTGGGCCTAGTCATATATAGTTTTGTAGAGAATTTCAAGCGCTATCTTTTGATAATAAAAAGAACTTTAATCACATGGGTAATAGAGGAGAAATCTTGAAAATACTGAGGCCCATTTTCCCTGAGACAAACGTTATCACCGTAAAAAAAATTTTTTGAGGGCTTTGAGAACTTCGCTAAATTCTTGGTCAAGATGAGAGATAAATCAGATAAAAAATATACCGATCGATAGAGAAATGAATGCTCTATCCAGTCGTATATTAATAAAAGCGTATTATGTTTTGCAGAAATATAGTAAGCTGAAGAAAACTAGTAAAAATAACGTAATCGACCTGTATGTTGAACTAAACAATATATTTGTCATATCAGTTTTACTTTTATTCTAGTAATTTTATTTTTCAAGAATATTCTAAACTAACTGGATACAATCAAATGTCTTATAATTATATATTTAATATTATTAAATTCTATTAAATTAACTTGAAAGTATTATTTTTATTGTCAATCTAAGGAAGATCTTTCGAGTTCTTTTTTTCATCAGAATCTGAATTTTCTTTTTTATTCCTAATCATAAAAACCTTTTCTTAATTTTGTTTTTGTTCATCTCGAGACTTCATTGACTACTGAAGACAGATATTGTGTGAAATTTTCTCGTTTTTCTTCTTTCAGATTGACTTAGTACATCTTTTCATCAACTTGCCATAAATATAGACAAGAAAAGAAAAAGAATTTTATAAGATTAAATAGATGATTGTCTTGAACGTTTTGTCTATAACAGTTTAAGAAAAATTTCTATTCGAATCGTTTAGATTTTAATGCCTTAGTCAATATTTTATTTTGTCAAGAAAGTCGAAATATTTATTGCGGGGTGTGAGTGTGAGTCTGGATGAAGAAAAGATCCAGCAACATCCACACCCACACCCTATTCATTTATCTTATTTTTGTTGCTCATGAAAAAAAAAGATCTATAAATTGATATGAAAAAAATCCATGTTTTTTAATTATTTTTGCTTTATTATTTAATTATTATATTTAGAAAAACAACAGATTTTATTTAATTTTTTTTGTACAATGTTGGATTAAGATTGTCATCATTAAAAACAGATACACCTATTTTTAATTTATTCATCTGTTTTTTTGTTAAAATATTTTGTTTACCATTAAATGTCATATTATCTGGCATCCTAAATAAATAAACATCATTACAATATTATAAATATATCAATTTGTTCCCCTATAAACTTGCTTACATTTGAATGGTCATTGCAGCTCTTCTTCCGGGCGTCATATTGGCACCGGCACCATGAACTAAAAGACCGCTATGAAACGAAGCACTTCCTGCTTTCATAGGTACAGCTACTGTTTGCCATGTCTTTAGCTCGGGATAAGCATTAAATATATCAGAAAGATTTTTACCAATCTTTATTTCCGTAAAAGTATTATTCTCTGCATAATAACGACGTTTTGTAACCTAAAAATATCTGATTTAAAGATCTTCATAAACTAATACAAATTTGAACATGAAAATAGAGTTCTAACTTTCGAAAGAAAATATAGTTTTCAAAATTGAACATTATTCAATTTCTAACAAACACATCACTTGAACACAAACGAAGAAAAACAAGATATAAAAAGAAGCGTAATTGAATTCTTGTACCTACAGATAAGATTTTTGATGATTTGTCGAAAAGCACATAATCAACTAACGAAGTCTTAAAAAAAATTTTTTTTCATCCGTCAGATAGTCTTACTTTATGTGAACCAGGCATAAAATACATGCAACCATTTTCTAATGTTGCATCGTCTAATGCTATCCAAACACTTATTGCATGTAAAGAAGTGAACGACCAATATGGAATATCAAGATGCCTTCATAAAAAGACAAGAGATGAATAAAAAAGAAAATGAAGTACATTTGAATTATACCAGGCAGTAGGATTTGCAAATGATTCTTTAATTAAGGCTTGATCATGCCAAATTCTAACACAATCAATACCTTCTAATTCAGCAGCAATTTTTCCAATAACTCGTCCACTCTCTAATAAAAGTTCTTTGACAGAATTATGTGTTTGCCATAGATTAACACGCTGTGTGAAGACATTATCGTAATAATCGAAATCAATATTGGTATGATCTTCTTCATTCCTTGTAGCAAATTTATACTTTTTCTCGGCTCGATCATTTACTGCAGTGAATATGATTTTTCGCCATTGTTCAAGCTGAGAAGGAGAAAGAAGGTTAGGTATAACATGATAACCATTTTCACGATAAGAATTAATATCAGCAATCGTAAGTGAAACGGAATTTGTGACAGGAACAGAAAGTGGTGGCGTCGGTGTTATTGTAGGTAAAGGAGACATTAAGCGTACTAAGGAGTACTTACAAATCGTCTTCT